CGCGGGTGGGGGCGGGGTCCGGACGCGTCGCCGGGAAGGACGCAGGAAGGGAGATGGCACCCGGCGGGCTGCCCCGGCTAGCGGGCCTGGCGCGCTGGGCTGCGGCTCTGCTCCTCGCTCTGGGCGTGGCACGGGCTCCGGCGCTCCCCGAGGTACCGCGCGCGCCAAGGCCCCCCAGGCGTCCGGAGACCCTTTGGGCGTGGCGCGACCCCGCGCCTCGGTCTTCGCAGCGCTCTGGTTGTCCTGGGTGCAGACGCGCCCTGCTCCTCCGCGGGCTTGCGGCGCCCCGTGGCGCGAGGCCGGCCGTGCTCCGCAGCGCGCGAGCCCTGGCAACCCGGCGCCCCGCCCGCCCGTCGGAGCGAGGGTCCCGCGAGAGTCGCGGCTGCGGGGAGAGCGGCCCCGAGCGTGGCCTCCGCTCCCGCGGCTGCCACCTGGATTCTTCTCCCGGCAGGTGTGCGTCCGGTGCCCGGGGAGCGTGCGCAGGTGGTCGAGGGTGGCCCTGTTCTGCGAGCGGACGCCGGCGCGGTCGCTGCGGGCCCGCTGCTGCCTGGACCCGGAGGGCGCCGTCTTGGGGTGAGGGCGCCGCGGCCATCCCTGGGTGCTGGAGCAGCCGCCCGGCCTGCCGCCTTCCCCCGCACTCCTTCGAGAAGCCGCCTGGGCTGGCCTCGGCTGGAGCCGTCACGCGTGTCTCCGAAACCGGGTCTCCCAGTGTCCCTTTACCTGCCAGCGCTCGGGCGCACGCGGGTACCCCTGGTTTCCCGTGTAGCATTTCCAACTACTGGTGCGCCCTGATTTCACACTCAGAAGGTCAAGCTTTGCTTATGTTCTCGTCTGCCTTGAATCTATCCAAATACTTTCCTGTATTGAACTTGCAAAAACCAGATCCTTCCATTATCACTCTATTGCCTTAGCACTATATTTAGGAAACCTCTTGTCCTCAGGATTAAGGTTCAAATCCAGAGCTAGCACAGACAAGCCCCAACCCACTTTCCCAACATTATTTCCAATTATTCGTGTACTCAAACCCTCCTTAAGGGTCTGGCTCCAGCTGGACCTGCCTAGCCCCAAAGGCATTCCGTTGTACTTTCTTCTTTCTTTCTTTCTTTTTTTTTTTTTTTTTGAGTTGGTGCCTCACTCTGACACCCAGACTGGAGTGCAGTGGCCGCTCCCGGCCACTGCATCCTCGACCTGCTGGGCTCCGGCGATCCTTCGCCTCAGCCTTCCAGTAGCTGGAACTACAGGCGCGCGCTACCACGCCCAGCTAATTTTTGATTTTATTGTAGAGATGAGGTCTCACCAAGTTGCCCAGGCGGGTCACGACTGTTGTATTTTCTTTGTCCAACATAGGACATATCCGTCCTTAAGTTCCAACATCTTTTGTGATTGCTCCCTACTGCTAATTCCTATAATAATACTTTTAAGCTTTCTTTAATCCTGAGTGTACATGCAACTCAAATATATATTTATATATCGTTCTGTGCTTGCTTTCACGTTGTAATTGAACTTTTACATTGTTTTTATTTTGGGCATAGTCTTTCTACTACAGTGAAAGCCACTTGAAAGCTAAAAAGATACTGAGTTACACATTTTTAATTCTCTCCCAACTTTTGCAGTTGGCAGGCTCTCAGTAAATATTTGAATAAAGGAATGGACAGCAATAGATATTGAAGAAAAAAACGTGGCATGGTCTTTCATGTTCAGGAGTTTAAAGCCAGTCTGTGGTAGAAAACATGTGGAAAAAAACTTTCATTTATGTGACTGCATTTTTTTTTTCATGTTAAGACCCTTTGCGTATCTAAAAACATAATACGACATTCACCAACCTAGACACAAAACACACTTCTTTCAATATATGCATAGATGCAAAGGTAAACTGATTGACAGTGCTGGCCAATGGAACTTTCCATGATGACGGAAGTGTTGTGTGTCTGTCTGTTCTGGCCACTAACATGGCTGTTCCATTTGCATGTGAAATATGGCTAGTGCAAATGCACTGATTTTTTAAGTTAAATTAAGTGGCTACCTTAGCTGGTGGCGACTGTATTGAATACAACAGGATTAAAATGTCAGCCGCAGCACCTAGTCTGTGGCTCTGCACACAGCTAGGCTCAATTACTATTAGCTGAAAGAGGGGTTGTCAAATACAAACCTTCGCATGGATGAAGAAGAGAGACACATAAGCTGGGTGTGGTGTCTCAAGCCTGTAATCCCAGTACTTTGGGAGGCTGAGGCAAGAGGATTGCCTGAATCCATGGGTTCCAGACCAGCCCGGGCAACTTATCTCTATAGTAAATGAAAAATTAGCAAGGGATGATAGCAGCTACTTGGAAGACTGGGGCTTCAGGATCACCGGAGCCCAGCAGGTCAATGCTGGGATGGCCATGAGCGTGCCACCGCACTCCAGCCTGGGTGACAGGGTGACACTCAAACTCAAATAAATAAGAGAGACACGTAGTTATGCTGGTTACTTTATTTCCTCAGGCTGGATCTCCAGAACTGTTCTCTGAAGGACCTGGGTCCCGACTTTCCTCAGGCACACACTGCTGTCATTATGTAAGTGGGTCGGCACCCTCCTGCCCAAAAGGTGACTCCTATAGCAGGGGATTGATGGGAAAGCCTTTGGGGATGGACTCCTAAAAAATGGATGAATAGTCATGTCTAAACTTGGATAGCTCAGGATGAGGATGGGATTACCAGTCCAGGAAGACGTGTGAGTATAAACAGGGTGCCTTCCTGAGCAGAGTGCTAACAGTGTGTGCTTCGCAGAGACCTGCAAGCAAACCCCCTCCAGGGTGACCTGGCCAGCACCTTCCGTGGCTTCACCCAGCTCCAGACTCTGTGAGTAAGGGCGTGGGAAGAGCATCAAAGAGGGGCAGTGCTGTGAACTTTGGGGCTGCATGTTTTGACTACCTGTGTTGCCTTCAGGGTTCTACCACAAGATGTCCGCTGTCCAGGAGGCATTAATGCCTGGGATACTGTCACCTCTTACACAGACAACCAGATCTGCCAAGGGCAAAGGAACCTTTGCAATACCACTGGCCACCTAGGTAGGCTGTTTCCTCTCCAGGCTTCTGGAATCTGCCCTTTCTTCCTGTAGTCTCCGTTTTATCTTTTCTTTTTTTCTTTTTTTTTTTGAGTTGGAGTCTCACTCTGTTGCCCAGATTGGAGTGCAGTGGCCGCTCCCGGCCACCACAGCCTCGACCTGCTGGGCTCCGACGATCCTTCCGCCTCAGCCTTCCGAGTAGCCGGAATTACAGGCATGCGCTACCACGCCCGGCTGATTTTCTGATTTATTGTAGAGATGAGGTCTCACCTGCCCAGGCGGGTCTCGAACCCGCGGGCTCAGGCAATCCACTCACCTCAGCCTCCCAAAGGCGTGGGATTACAGGCTGAGCCACTGAGCCCGGCTCTGTAGTCTCCGTTTTAGATCAGAAAGACAAAGTTGCTTAAGTGCTCTCTCTCTCTCTCTATATATATATAATATATGTAATTTTTTTTTTTTTTTTTTT